GCGGCTCTTCGAAATTTCGGCTTTGTCCGTTTCCGCGCTCTTGCAGGCATTTCGTTGCCTCTTGTAAGTCTCGTAATCTTCGGCAGAGCCAGAGTGCACGAATTTATTCCATAACTGGCGTCACCGTCGAGCCAGTTTGACACACTCATTTTCAAACCAGTGTGGCTTGACTGGTCCAGCTTTCTGATATTTGAGGCGCACAAATCGGGCGCACGGTACTTTTATTCTCTCTTTTATGACAGACCAACACGCTTCAACTGTTGACTTCTGTGGTAGCGACCAGTTCATCAAGCTTGCGGCTCGAGTGAGGCCATTCAATTTCGCCTTCCAGTATTTGAAACCTGGCTCCAGCGGAGAAGTAAACGCCAATGGCTGGTCTAAGCTCGACATTACCATCGAGTGGTCACTAGCTCCAAGGGACTCAAGGACTTGAACATCATGCACATGTTGATCGCAGCTGGTCAGCAACAAGTTTAGGCACGATGGAGTCGAGCGCGCGATAATCCGCGCCGGCTGACTGATGTGCAGTGAGGCCCCAGTTTCAAAGATCATCTCCGCAAACTTCGTCGCGACTTCGAAGTGGCCGGGGAGCAGCTCGACCTCGTGCCACCGTATTCGAGGAAGGTTGAGATTGGTTCCCACCGGGAAGCAGCTGTCACTGGCAAGAAAATGCACCCCGTCAATTAATGCTATTTACTAAACACCACCCACAGAGCAGTATAAGGTGAGTACTTCACGCATTCAGATTAACGAGACGAATAAAGGATAAGCGCTTTCCGTGCAATAAAAATGCCATCGGAATGTTATTAGTGAGTGATTTTGCTAAGGATGGATTAAATTAAAAGAACGCAGGTCGTTTCTTATGAGTGCGTATCTCGTTTACCTAGCGCCTCACTTGTGTGGCCGACTGACAAAGAAGCACAATTTTACACGCTACCTAGCAACTCAGGCGATGCGATGCCAACAGGTCTTGTCAGGAATAGTCGCCAAATTTATGCTAATGCAGGCAGCGCGTACTCGGCATGAGTGGACAAGAAGAAGGAGAATGTCCACACTAAAAGTGACTGCGCTTGAACTCGGCGACAACGCGCCGTGGATTAATTACCACGCGAACATATGCGTATGCATAAAGCTCGGTAGACCATGCCTATCACCTATGTGGTTTCTGCTTCCGGCGACGAATCACGAATTCGGCTTCGCATACTGATATTTCCTTGAGCGCAATTTGACCGCAGAACGCGAACAAATCAAGCATGGCCTAGTTGACGTGGTACGATGATTCCTCGACTGAGTGAAAATGAAGCAGATGTAACAGGAAACGCGTTAATCTTTCAGAAGAGCGCCCTTAAGTTCCAGTCTGTAAAAGCTGTGATCAACAATCATGTAAAGCGGCCAAAAGTACTCATTCAGCACAGTGTGAACTTGTTTAGTTACCTCTGTGATGCAGCATGCAGCAGTGACATGAGAAATGCTTCCTAATTGACCTGGCGGAAGTTAGCTAATGATACAGGTTTTCCAGAAGGGCCGAATGGTTGTGTGGGCTCACATAATTCGCCATCTCTGGTTGTATGCGATGCCATATGAGGACTCAAGGAAGAGCTAAATTTCTAGTGTAAGTATGGACTGAACAAATGTGAATTACACACACAAGTGCCCAGACAAAGTGTAATGCGCGGACTTGGTACTGCTCAACTCCCCACGACGGAGCTGAATTCGTTGGAGGAAAGTAGTTTCAGTTATAGCACAGCATAAAATCAATTGTCAGAAGCATGAAAGGCAATGAACTTGATAACAAATTGAAATCGTCAGATTCTTCAGGGAAATAACGCCTGACATTTAAGCGAGAACTACCATTGGGACTAAAGAACTGCAGTTTAGTTATGGAGCTACCGTTAGTACAGTGGTTTCCTTCCATAAGGAACGGTTCCAGCTAGATGGCAAACCACGGAAGCGGTGTGGCACTTTCTGTAAGATGCAATAGAACAAACCTAGCTCTTTTATACGGAAATGATCGAAAAATTGTGCGACTGCTGCCGGTGAGGCGAAAACATTCAACTTACCCATGGACATCTTTATCAGGTTAAAAATTCCAAAACAGCGCGAGTATACACTTACTGGTATCTCAAGAGCATATATGACTCCTTATAGGTGATAGAGTTTGGATTGGGTCCCGTTTAGTAAGGAAAAATTCATGGATAACCAGTTTCCTCAGCATGGTCAACAATGATTGGTTTGTATTTTGCAACAAAGGTTATTTACCAGAACACCAGAACTGAGCATATTACTGAGAGAGCAAGACAGCTATATCACATCTAATAACTTAGTCAGATCTGTCGTTACTCTTCCGTAGCCCAGTGGTCTTCACCACGGAATGGTAACAGTCGGATTGCGGATTCTAACCTCAAAGGAGCCAGATGAAATGCGCGCTGCTGGCGATTCCCGAGAAGGCGAAACTACTGTACGGTGCTTTCCCGGAGATGTGATGTATGTCTGATTAAGTCGATGTGGTGAATTTCCACTTATATCACTGATGTATCCTTTAGAAAACTTTCAAGGTCCGCACACATGCATCTTGTAAACACTACACAGGCAAAAATAGCTGGCCATTTACGTAGGAAGGATGGTATCCCCGAGACATATTCTTTGGGACATTCACTTCCACAGGTGGCTCAGCCTCCTACAAGCTTTAGGTTTGGAATAGGTGTATAATTTATGCATGTATGCATGTCGGTGTGTTCAATAATAGTACGGATATTATTACGTAGAGCCCCGAATTTAACGGCGCAAGTACATAGTAAAGGGGAAAGCGTCCCGTGGCGCTTCGTAGACCAAACAGTGGGTTGTAACACACGATAACGATAAAGATGCTTCACTGCCTTGCGTCTGAACGTTTAGGACACATTACCATAAGGAATCCGTTTTCGCCGTGTTGCGTTGTCTGGTTTCTGGAGTGGACAATACGACCTCACATAATACTGTGTAATTATGTAAGGAAGAAAAAGTGCACTTTGATATAACCTCCTCCGCCCCACTGGTTTTCTCATCAGGAAGGTTAAGAAAACTCGAAGTAACTGTGAACTGGTTGGTTGTCTCAGGCCAATTCGGTGTGATGAGTTGTGTGATACACCTACTAGTGTAAAATATGCTATGGTTGGTAGTATCCGATCCCGGATACACCTGTCATTGACGCCTCCATAGTGCAACCACAGGTTACCTGTGCCCACAGACGGACCATAGGCGGCTTAAGTTGCACCACCCGCAGCTCAATCCATTTACCTCATATTCAGTGTAAACCCGAAGGAATAAAACCGGGAGGTATGTGGATGGAAGCCACGTTGCAACAACGAAGCCGGCCCCCAGTCCTTTAACACACACAGCAGCAGCCACGTGTACCAGACGTGCATATGGCGGTGGCTGGGCTGTAGTCCGCTCCACAGTCGTTGAGCCTAGAACGGTCAGGAGGACCGTGCACTCCGTCCCCCTACCAAAGATTAGAAGTCTCCTGAAACCGGTAATCAAGGTGGAGGGTGTAAGAGAGGTAGGCACCTTGTCAATATTCACATCAGGCGCGGGCACAAGGGTGACCTCAAAAAACCAACACAGAATATGAAAGAAAATATACACGCAAACTGGAAAGCGAATCTGCACACTATAACAAAACAGTAGAAATAAAAGTTGGGTATTATGCCAAATATATTTAAATCTGGTCTTAGGTAAGTGTCTGAGTAAGTCAGGCAATAGCAACCAGATAACATGGAAAATAAAAGATAATAAACGAGTAAACTGGAGGTGGATTATGTGGAAGATTAACAGAGCTGAGTAAATGAAATAGAAGGGAATCAGTCAGATCTGTTGCGATGCGGAACAAGCTTGTCACTTTAGCCCAACTGCGGTAAAAAAGCAGCATAAATGCATCATCAGCCTCAGCATAGCAACATCTATTAACAAACACAGAAACTGAAATAAAAATCACGCAAACTGGACACTAAGTGTGCGGTAGAATGACAAAAAATAAGCAAAGCAAAAAACTCTATTATGTCTGATGTAATGTAAGGGTTGTCTCTGACAAGTGTAAATCAGATATTGATCAAAAATTAATGCGGGATGAAGACTTGTTTTTGGTAGACTGTCGTAAGACGCACTGTTTACGTGTGAGAAGCATAAAATCTAGCTTTGGATTGAATTCCAAGTTGTGTGAACGATCAACTCGATAACAGTGCTATAGATGGTAGGCCAGTAGTCTGAGGGAAATAGCTAAGGTAATAATCAGATATCTATCTGCACAAATTTTTGCTCTTTATTCTTTTTAATGAAATGGGAATATTTCCTCTGATGATGACCAGCAATATCCGTGCTTCGCTGGAGATCGCCAAAGTAACAGGTGAAAAGAACGAAAAAATGGCGCTCAAAGAAATAGGGAATATACGGCTGATTAACAGAACCGTAAATAAAATGGAATGTTGGCGCGTTGCGGAACAATCAAAAGTGTAACTCGGTCTGACCCAACTGCGATGAAGAAGCACATTAAATGTAACGTCTACCTCAGCATGAGTCTGGGAAGTAAATGCTATTACGTGCATAGATACATACACCTCGGTTGATAGACCTGATTACAAGTTTATCATATGCTATTGGTCAACCAATTTAAATGTCCTTCCGCATTGGTTCCTACAAACATGTTCACAATGGAGCCCGATAGTTGCGACTCGAAACTCGTTGACCGCGGACCAGGTCAGGACCAGGTGCTAACCTGATGCTCTCTGGAATACTGACCCGGTGTACACTTGGGTTACCTGGGCCCCACTCCAAGCTGTGAATGAAATGGACCATGTATGACTAATTGGGGGTGATCAATGTTAATTAGGATATATTTATTATACTATAGTGTGGAGGCGGATATTTCCAAGAGTTGATGCGTTGTAACTCGCACTGACAGAATCCACTTGGTTACGGAGAACGCAAAGGCTTATCGGGCATTCAGAAAGTGAGACGAAACTTACGTAAATTGCTCCCTTGACGCATGGAGACAGCCCGATACAGGAGAAAACAAGTACTCCACATCTGCCATAAAGCTCGTCCTGAGAGGTATCGCAGTTTTGAAGTAGACAGTTTACGTGTGTGGATGGCTCGAAAAGGCTTGCTGTCACAAAGCGAATGCAGTTCAAGGATAGGAAAGATTAAATTAAATATCCTCTACCTTACTGACTGGAATGTAGTGGACTGAGTTATGAGGGGAAGCACGGCAGTTTTAAATCTTGAGCTGTACACCTTATGCTTGGGCTCACACAAGCTCGATAAGATCCAAAATCATCGTCTTCTTTGCATTAACGGACCGTATGCGTTCGTGCATTCGGCCGTGTGATGGTCGATTCGGTCAAACCATGTAAATTGAGTCCATGCACAGGCACGCAATCACTACATCAGGTGGGTGGACACCATGGCCCTGTTTGACTGTAGCCACGGATGCATAAGAACGCACCCACTCATCTGGCAGCGCAACGTAGCTTCCGCCCTATTGGCTATTGTCTCTTGCGACACACACAAACGCGCGCACGTGCGACCGACACTGACTAATAATGAGTAGTCTTCCCAGGCGGCCTCATTCCTATGGTTGCGTGACTCACAGGTGGGTGGTTGAGTTGGTCAGTGAGTGGAGGTCTAAACAAATTTGTGCCATGGTTACCCAATGAATAGGTGACCAGCAAGGTTGGGCGAGGCCAACACACGACTTGAATATGGACTATTTTGCTGATCACCACGGACGACCAATATTTATAGATTTTCAAAGCCGATTAGGGCAACCGGTGACCGCTTCCTTTAGATCATATAGACAATCGAGCCAAACACGTTTGTGTGCGCACGCGTTGACTTATGTTGTTCAATGTAGTTTGCACGACCAACATAGTAAAAGTAGATTAGATGAACGGCCGCTGTTATTTACTAATTGTCTGTTGAAAATCTAGTGAGCTTTAACGATAAATGATCCGCTAGGTGCGTACACTAGCAATCTTCCTACCAAGTGAAACCACTTTCTATGCATAAAAGTAGAGCACAATTATCCATTGCCTCTCCTAGGAAACCAGACCTATCAAATTATGCCATGAATTACGCCTCCCTGCTTTTCAGAAACACATTACAAAGCACGTTGCTATGCATGCCGTCTTCACAACGCAAGGCCGCGTGGAACTAAACACAAGGTTACGCAATCGCTATCTAGATTAGAGTAATATTTTGCATTTTTCTCGAGTCACGGGATTCGTTCAGCGTATGGATGAATACACAGCAATATGTCCTGGGCATGGCATTCACAGGGATTCAGACAGACAGTTACCTTGTGGTTACTATTCGCATTCAACTTTAAGGCTCAACATTGCCACTACACGCCATTAAGGCACTATTTCCCATCTACTTCACAAACTCTACTGGAACATCAGTATATCAAAGACAAACAATAATTTATCTGAATGCTGTCAACGGGTTTCGTAAAACGACAGGGGCAAAGCCTGCCGGATGAAGGCAACGTAACAAAAAAACTAGTGGGGCATACAAGCAATCTATAGAAATTTTCGCTGAACGATGCAGTCCATGGGGCACTTGAAGCGTATACGAACGCTCCTCTTTTGTTCCCGCATTCATAGCACCCGTGGTAATCTGGAGCAGGCGTCTGTGCTTAACAAACCAGCTGAGTTTGAGGTTTTCCTTTAGTTCAGCAATTTTCAGTTTGGAGCTTTTACTGTCTTGCAGCAGCAGTGCCTGTGAATGCTCATACTTAACCATGAAGCTGGCGCGCACCGAGCAACTCAGTCCAGTAGAACTAATAAAAATAGTTATTAAAATAGTGAGTTCCCTTCAGCCATTTCGTTAAAGCAGTGAGAAGACAGAGGTTGCGACATGTCAACATTTTGATTGTTCTCTTCAGTCGCAAACACAATACTAACGGAAACACACAAAGGATTATATACATAGCTAAACTATTAGATCCGGTGCGTAAAATCCTCGCTACGTATTGCCTGAAAGACTCCTTTGAACTGGATGAGAGGCTGGAACAATTGTCACAGAGCTCATGTACTTAATAGATGTGGACTTCTTATTCACAAATGTGCCTTTACGTGAGACGGTTGATTATTTATGTGCTTTTATCCTGATTCAGAATATGTCTGTGGGCCTGTCAGTGGAGTATCTAAAGGATATGATTCTATTGTGCACCGAGGACATGCGGTTTGAATTTGTGGGGCCCGCATACAAACAGGTCGACGGCGTCGCTATGGGCAGCCCTCTGGGACCAGTTTTAGCCGACATCTTCCTCGGCCTGATAGAAAAGAAAGTTGCTGCCAGTATTGCTGAAGCGCAATTGTACAGACGATATGTGGATGACATCTTAGTCTTCAGCAGCGCAGAACATTTTGCCCGGCTGCTGACCATCCTGAATTCGATTCACCCTAATCTGTCCGTATCCCGTGAAGTGGAACAACATCATTGCCTGGCGTTTTGGGGCATACTCATTAGGAGACATGCTGAAGGTACTTCGCAGCGCAGTGTTCACCACAAATCGATTTAAAGTCTACAGTACCTTCATTTTTCAAGCTTCGCCCCGATCGCATACAAACGCGGCTTAGTGAAAACTCTCTTCTACCGGGCTAGACGTATTTGCAGCCCCGAAACATTAAAAGCCGAAGGAGAAATTATACGCAAGACCTTAATTTCATGTGGATATCCTGAGAAGTTTATTCAAGTACACAGCAAACCTTCCAACGTGAAAACACCGGTGTTGACGGTTGCGAAAAAGAATGTTTATTTGTTCTTGCGGTGCAAGGGGGACCATGTGGCAAATGTTACCGGACGCAAGCTCCGGTCCGCCCTAACGCCCAGTTGCGACGCAGGCATACCACACGAGGACTTGTTCTTCACAACCGTCAGAGCATCTGGTCGGGTAGTTCAACCACTCACGTTGTTTATCAGTTCACCTCCGGTTGCAGTGACATTTACATATGCAGAACAAACCGTCAGTTAGCTCAGAGGGTAGCTGAACACTTTCCAAAGTGGTTGGGACAAGTGGTTACGCAACAACATGGGACGAACCTGAGAATCAATCGGAGCCCGGAATCGTCTATCACCAAGCACCTCATGACAACCCGTCATCAAGTAAACCCCGAGACAGTGTTCAAAGTGTTATTACATAACAAAAACCCGATAATGTTAGCAATTAGTGAGGCCTTGTTAATTAAGGCTTTTCAACCTGGGCTACGTGCACAGAAATTTTTGGAGCAATCAATTCGGTTGCCATGGTCTTAACTGTGACATTGTGATTGGTGTTGCTTAATTTTTCCATGTATATAATCTTTCGTGTGTTTCTGTTCGTATTGTTTGCGACTGAAGAGAACAATCGAAAAGTCGACATATCGCAACCTCTGTCTTCTCACTGCCTTAACGAAAATAGTTATTGTACAGGTCCTGTATCCAATGGCCCTATTTTTATGGAAAAATGTCATTATTGCCATAGGTTTTGCGCCTGATCCCTCGAGCACTAGAGTATGAAGGTGTGGCTTTCTTTAGCAACCACTGGAAGGGAAGCGTTGGTTCCCTTCATCAGTACCAATCATGTGAAAACGGACGTTCCCATCTCTCTGTATCACACAAGGCAACATTAAAAAGTAGTTATTCGCGGAACTAAGTTCGTTTAGGCAGAAACAGACAATGAATGACCTATGGTGGAGTTCTGACTCCGAATAATACGCAAATTAAATCAATGACCCGGCGGACAGCGTAGCTTGAGGAAAGCCATAGTTCCTAGCCGTGTGGGCAAATATCACAATGTCGAACGAACGCGACGAAGACACAAGCAGCAGACCGGAGCAACAACGTGGAATCGAGTTTGAAAGAAGAGTACCGATTGAGTTGACTAAAACAAACCGTACAATAAGAAAATATAGCCGTAACGAAGAAATATGCAAGTGCTACCGAACTCACCTCTAGCGTGTGAGTCAAAGGGGCGGACGCGTGATAAGTGCTAGCTTACGTAAGCCACAGGTAGAGGAGAGAAAACGACTGTACGTTCGAAGCGTGTACACTTAGGTATATCGAGGGTGGCGATAACTGTGGATGGGACCAAAGAGGAATCAATAGGGGCGCACATAGGCCGAGTTTCGAAGCAATTCTCTTCAGAAACACAGGTGTCGGTAGATTGTTGAGACGATTGCACTTTTACATAGTCAGGCTTTAGGCAACTAATCATAACGGAATATTTACAACCATTGCTGTCGAACACGAATTACTTCTCTTTACGGGATAAGACTTTGGTAGGACTTTCGGAAGGCAGTGTCAACGGTTTGCGGACCGTGTCGACGCACCTGGAGGCAAAAACCCAGGTGCGTAAGTCGAGGAGAATCCATTGACTTCGAGAGTTAGTTGTAGGAGGAGTTGGAACGAACAGCAGTAAAATGTTACTTCGAGCACGCAATATGCGAAGCAGAGTCCATTTCGCTGGTGACACTTGTATCCAGCGTGATTTCACCGGGAAGTCTAAGTGTTGTGCCAAAGACTAATTCAGCTAGACAGCAACCGCTATGCTCCTTTACGGTGTTACGAATGCAGAGCAGAATTGTTGGTAGGCGCTCGGACCACTGAGCATTCGACTGGGTTGCAGTAAATGCAGTCCGGAGCTAGCCCATTATGTGCGGGGCGGTAAGCCGTTTGGCCTAGACACAAACAACCCAGCAGACTGTTAAAATCACGGAACAAGACAGAGGTGAACATATGTCCTCAACTCGTGATGACAGTGACAGGCGTGCTAAACACAGATGTCCACGTTCCGATGAATGTTCTGACTGCTGTTTCTGCCGAAACATCCCCTAGTGTCAGTGCGTGTGGCCAACGCGTGGATCGATTAGCACATGTCAGCAAAAAGGTGCAACCGTTGGACTGTGGAAGAGCTCCAACGGTGTCAAAGTAGTAATGTTTGAAGCGGCATCAGGCAAAGAGGATGTGCCTTGGCCGGTTTTGGTGTGGCGCTAGATTTTGCTATTCTGAGAGGTGATGCAGTGCTTCGCCCACTGTTGGACGTCCGAGTGCATGTATTAACAGAAGTAGCGATCCGTTATTCAGCTTGGTAGTGAAGTGTATGCTCGGGTGAAACGATATGCACGTGATCAAATAAAATTACTCGATGCTGCTGCGAGAAGAATAGTCGAGACTTACCAGCGAATATATCACAGTAAAATCTGCCATCCGAGTTGAGAAGAGGCAGAAAAGATAATTTGGTAGACAGGTTCAATCTCGGCTTCTGGAATTCGGGATTTTCTTGTTGATAAGCATCAATGCCCTCAAGGTTAAATGGCGGACGTGAAAATCGTTGCAAGTCAACAAAGGATATCGTATCGGCGATGACGTTGCTGGCTGCATCATCATGTCAAATAGCTGTAGTGAAATATAATATATATTCGAGATGGCCAG